CTCGTCGCGCACTCGCATCTCCAGCTTGGCCGCCGTTGACTCTGCTGGCGAGACACCTCCCCGACAGTCATGTTTTGAAAACCCCTCTCCAATTGGCTTTGGAGAGGCCGAAACCAACAACCACGAGTGCGATTTTGCGCACTTCGTTGTACATTCCGAAAAAGGACGGAAGCCTGGTGGACTGATCCGCCCCAGTCTCGCCGCGCCACCCACTGCACATATTCGAATCTCACGACGTATACGGTTTCCCTCGAGACGCCACCGCACCCCGCGCGCTCGAGGCTTTGCTGCGCGCCTGATTACAGTAGACGCCCGCGCCACATAGTCCCTTGGCTATCCAAGAAATATGACTTCCGTACTACCGGCGCATACGTCTGACTTTACCAGTTCGATGCCCCCCTCTCCCCGAAGCTCTGCGACAATGGCACCGGGCCACGACTCGCGGGCGAGCCCGCAGCAGTTCATCAAGCAAGAGCACGACTCTGGAAGAGGGAGGCCGCGGGTGGGCTCCGAAGAAAAGGACGCCGATCTGGTGGACGACGATGGGGCCGACGGCGACGACGGCAAGGCCGGTTCGTCCAATTCAGACGGCGGCCCTGCGCGGAAGAGACGGAGGAGCCGCAAGGGCTTGGACAAGAAGTTTGAATGTCCCCAAGAAGGCTGTGGGAAGAGCTACTCGAGAGCCGAGCATCTGTCAGTAGACGCACCAAAGCTGACGGCTTCGACTAACACGTTTCCAGATACCGACACCAGTTGAATCACACACCCAAACAGATCTACGCTTGCGACTTTCCCGACTGCAATCGCACCTTTGTCCGGCTGGATTTGTGTAACCGCCACAGGGACCGCCACACGGCCAAGGGATCGGCTCTGAACCGCAAAGACTCGATGATGAGCCACATTTCTCCCACGACCGACCGCCCACCGTATCCCCTGCCCGGCTCGGCGTCGCCCGAAATCAGTCGGCCGGGCACTGGCTTCGCCAATGTGCGACAGAATCAGATGCAGCAGTTCCAGTCGCCCAAGGAAGCCACGGGAAGCCCTTTTGCGCAGGCGACTCATACGCCTCCCACCGGATATCCCATGGGGGCACCCCCGAACATGGACGGCTACATGCACCACGACGGTGGTTACGGAAACGTCCAGGCGCTTCGGCCTCCGCATCAGTCTCCAAGCAACGGATCACGGCCGACGGTACAGACGAACGGGCCATACATGTCTCCGGTTTCCAACCAGCATGGATACCACGGCCAGCAGCACAACACCCCGCAGTCCGCAACCTACACTACCCAGCAAAATTTTCCGCCGTTCAACCTTCCCCCGTCCGACTTCTCCAACGGGACGGGTAACGTACCCCGGGAAGCAGGCCAGACGTACACACCGACCACCTCGGCCGAGTACAGCGAACAGGGGCATCCCCAGCAGTCGGGCGAGATGATGCTGCTCGACCAGATGTCGATGCCCGGGACCATCCCGGTCTTTGGGACCGACAGCATCCTCAGCAAGTCGCCGTACGTGACGATCCCGGAAGACTTTGTCGCCTACCTGTTCAACACCACCCAGCAGGGCGAGGGGTCACCAATGGGGCAGATAGTGCCCCCTCAGTATGCGAGCAAGTGAGTACATTGGATGTTCGTGCGTGAGTTGCGCTGACCTTTCTCAGCTACGGAGAATATGGAAACTCCTATAGCGTACCTTATGTCGGGACCGACGGCGTGCCGATGGGATACTTCCCGTCCGGCTCGCACCAGGTCATGGCCGTCAACAACCTACTGGACCAGAACCTACCAGAGGCGACCATTTCGGAAGAGAAGAGCCAGGAGATTTACGACTTCATCAGCCAGAGGTTCCACGAAAACGACCAGGCGCCGGCACTGCGGCAGCGCGACAGCATTCTGGAAGGGGACCGGACCGACGGCGACCACATGCTCAGCAAGCGGATGATGCAGGCCTACATCGGATCATACTGGGTCCACTTCAGTGACCAGATTCCCATCCTTCACAAGCCCACCTTCTCTCCCGATCGGACGCCGAATCTGCTGCTTCTCGCCATGATGACGATCGGTGCCGCCTGTCTCGATAAGACGCACGGGCAAAAGGTCACCAAGGCCGGCGCGCAGCTGTCCAACTTTTTGGCATGGCACTTGCGGTGGGAAATCTTCATGGACCCCAACTTCCGCCCGCCGGCGAAGCTTTGGCTGTTCCAGACCCTCTTGCTGCTGGAGCTGTACGAGAAAATGTACTCGACGAGAGAGTTGCACGAGCGGGCCCACATTCATCACGCGACGACAATCACCCTGATGCGCCGCGGCAGGTCGCTCATTGGCAAGTCGGCACTGGATTCGCCTCCGAACCCGCGAGACGATAAGAATAGCTCACGGCACTCCTCGGCATCAGGGGTTGCCCACACCGCCGACGAATGGTGGAATCACTGGATCACCAACGAGTCGACGCGTCGGGCCGCGTTCGCCGCCTTCGTCATTGACTCAATACACGCAACCATGTTTGGCCACTCCACGGTGATGGTCACCCACGAAATGCGGCTCCCGCTGCCCTGCGACGATGCCATGTGGAAAGCCAACAGCGGCGCAGAGGTCGGCCGGATCGAGTCCAACATCATATCCAACGGCATCAAGCCGATATCCTTCCTGGAGGGTCTCAAGCGGACACTCAGCGGCCAGGGGGTCCAGACCAACCCATTCGGCCGCATGGTCCTGATGGCCGGACTCCTCAGCGTCAGCTGGCACATGAACCAGAGGGACCTCCAGGTTAACGTCCTCGGCGGTGGAGTCTCGCAGGCGCTAGGGGGCCGGGATAAGTGGCGGGGGACACTTACACGCGCCTTTGATGCGTGGAAGGAGGACTTTGACAAGTCACTTTCTCGGAACGAAGGCTCGTCGGATCCTTACCGGTTCGACTCCGCCAAGAAGAACGAGGCCAACGTGGTGTTTGAAAGTCGCACAGTGCTGCACCACCTCGCCCACATGGCGATGCATGTCGATATTGTGGACTGCCAGATTTTCGCCAGGGCGAAGCGGCTTTTGGGGCGAGCCATCGGGCAGCAGGACCTCAACAGCGCTCAGAGAAGGATGAGGGACCTCTGGGCGCCGTCCGCAAAGGCCCGAGACGCAACCTACTACGCGCTCAAGTTCCTCTGCTCTGTCCTGATGCCTGACGGGGGAGGATCGCCACAGTCAAACGGCTTCAAGTACGACGAGCCGTATACGGCCCGAGACGACGTGCTGCTCAACAGGCCGTGGGTTCTCTACTTTGCAGCACTCGTCGTCTGGTGCTACGGGTTCGCCCTCGAGGGGCCCTGTCCCGGGGTGCCTCTGCCAACCACGAAGCAGGAACAGGTGCGGCAGATGCGGGACTACCTAGCCAAGTACGGCGGTGTGTCTTCGCCAGAGGAGCTCAAGAGCATGAAGGGCATCAACACGAACACGGCGCTACTGCTCGTTCTCAAAGACTCTTTCGGAACCACACGATGGGAGCTGCTCCACGAGGGAGCCAATCTTCTCAACAACTGCCTCCAGCTGAATTCTGGGGCAACGGCATAGCGAATCAAGACAAAAGGCGGCAGGCATGTTTTTCATCGATTGGCATCGGAACGAACCGCGACGGCGGCATTATGACGGGAGGAATTCGGGTTTACAATATACCACTTTTGTGCGAGTTATCATTTGAGGAGTCGGGACGATAATTTGGCATGACAGACCTTGCGGCCGCACTTGACATTTTTTCTGTACTGTATCTATACCCGACGAGGCGCCCTTTTCTTGAAGGCGTGTCGCAATATTGGTGACATACGAATAGCATGAAGGCCGAGGCAGAGAATACCTAGTCTCGGCGAGTACATTGGCGAACTTGTCACTTTTCACAATGGTGCACCCTGTGGTTCTCATTTCATTGCTGACATGGTCGGTCGTCTCAGTCGGGCCGCGGCCCATGGAGAGAACAGAGGCAACGGGACGTGGGGTGCGTGTTAACCGAGAAGATGAAATCCCACCTATCCGGTCCCGAGGTGATGGGCGATCTTGGCGGTTGGGCTGCATTCTTCACGGCATTCGCTGCGCCGTGTTGGTGCTTTCATTTAGGCTTTTTTGAATAGGGGGCGACGGCGGGGCACGAGTTGGATGGGTGTGTGCATATGGACGGGCGACTTGCTCGAGGGGTGGCACATCTCTGCGGCATGTAGATGATGCCGTCTCCTGGCGAAACGCGGCCCACGTGGTCCGGGGCTTTCGGCCTTTCGTCCAGTGATGAAGCTCAGCGTCTAAGCTTGTTTGTTGAGTTGAAATACGCTTTGCGGCCTCCGACGGCGCCGGGTAAGTCGGCTGGGGCCCGGGTGGGCCGGGTGTATCTAAAGCTTTGCCAATGAGGGTGAATCGGTGGCTTGAGGGTCGCCTTCATTTGGTCGGTTTGCCTGTCTATGCTGCCTCGATAGACTGCGGGCCCGCCCCGGGCCGTCTGCCGGGTCCCGGTGGGTCCATCGGCGCCGATGGTGTAAGTGCAAGAATTAGACGAAAGAGCATGTGCGTCGACTTACGTCATGATGATTAATGCAACGGTCCAACAACGCAAGCGCTGGTGAAGCAAGTAACAGTTGGGGTAGCTGGAACGGCGCCTCAATTTCAGGCAGCTTGGGACAGGCTTTTCTTTACTTGGTTGGTTGGAGAAGCGAACGGTACGAAGCAAACCTCAGCCGGTGAACCGTGATGGCATGAACTTGCCTAATTCGGTCGTAGTCTCCACCGCGCTGATACGTCGGAGCTTACCTCCTACCTCCGGAGAGTCGCCCGCCCACGTCCCCGCATGATGGGTTGGGTGTGGTGGACCAATCCAGGCCGACGACGTAAGTTTAAGCTTCTGTTGCGTCGTTCATCTCCCACCTCACCAATCTCGCACTCACCTCTTGTTTCGAAACGTTCTCATTCGTGAACGAGCTGCGCTCACCTTGACTTGCAGAACAAATGGGTCACGCCGACCGGGCATCCAAGATGCTGCATCTCAACCTGCTGCCGGCGGAGATCCTCCACCACATCTTTGCGGGCCTCGAGCCGCGCGACCTCGGCCGCCTGCCCCGCACATGCCGCTTCTTACACACTTTTGTGAAGGGAAACCAGAAACTCTGCAAGGACGTTTATCTGAGTGCGCTGGTGAGACGGTTGCGTGGCGATGCGATGAATGCGGTCTAACTGCGGCGACAGGACACCCCGGCGGACGCGGAACTGGACTGGGAGAAGGAGGTTCACGACTACGTGAGGCTCAGTCTGCTCTGCACCAGTAGTAATGTTGATGAGAAGGTGCGTCAACTTTCCAGTTCATCGCATGGTCATGAGGCTTATCATACTAGACTGACGAACTACCGTTCGTCTACGATACCGTCAATAGACTCCTCAAGAACGCCTCATCCACGGGCGAAGCACAAAACGAAGCTGGGACTCACGCAGCGTCACGAAACGCAGCATTTCTGGCGCGCGCCTTCCGCGAGGAGCCGGCGCGTCTAGCATTCCTCTGCCGCTCCTTCATCTTTGAGCGCGCGCGCAGCGAAGTACGGCCTATCCGCATCCCGGAGAAGCCCAAGGAGGCGCACCAGCAGAGCGCGAAGTTGCACTGCCTGTATGGCCGCCCGATCCTCAACTGTGGGCGCACGCGATCGTCGCGGGTGTATCCGTACGCGTGTTCCAAGGTGTACGACTTGCGGCAGTACACCCCGCGGACGAAATGGGGACCGTTCATGGACGACGACACGGACCGTGTGGACTGGGAGAAGGTTGAGGCGATTCTGATTGTGCTTGGGAGCAACATACGCTCGCAGAACCTGACGGCCAAGGTGTTTAGTAATCTGTGGGAACGTCCGTTTGTTGGGTCGTGGGCTGGGAGCTACGTGCCTGCTCCGAATCGGGGGATCCAGGACTTGGATTTGAAGGACCCGTACGGTGTTGCCGGGACATGGATAAGGGTAGGTGGTGGTTCTCACAAGTTGGCCGTAACTAACAATCCCAGGTGGTGTGCTTCATCGACTACAACGACTTTTTCGGCTACAACTTTCCCCTCGACGACCAAATGCCGCGGGAGGTTCCCCGGCCAGCCCTGGACGTGGGCGAAGCCACCCGCCTCATCGTCATGAAGATTCACGTCACGGACGTACAGCCGCCGGGCGAGCAGGACGGCAAAGACCTACCCGTCGTGCACTTTGAGGGCATCTCACGGTCGATTGACGACTCGTGGGACGAGAACGCCAACTCTGACCTCCGAGGTAGGTGCATGTGCTTGGTGTATCGTGCTCGTTGTCATTGTTAATTCTCCTCTAATCAGCAGTAAAAGGCACCGTCCGCCTGACGAAAGAGGGCGAGGTCCGCTGGACCACGTTCTCCATCTTTAGCGGCCACGCCCGATGGCGAAGTGAGGGTATTCAGATCGGCGGCGTCGGCTCCGCGAGGGGCGTCGTAGGGCATTGGTTCGACACGTACGTAACATCGACCAACGATGCGGGTAAAGTGCTGACTAGGAACAGAGACTACGATCCTCACGGCCCCTGCGGGCCCAGCGCGTACTTCAAAGTGTCTGACCGGGCGCCGAACCCCAAGGGGGACGATCAGCAGATCAGCTTTCACGACTTTTTGCCAATCATGGACTTTGAGGCGGACCTGGGCAGCGACGAAGACGACGAGGACTTTGTCGTGGGCGAGTGGGGTGAGGACGAGGAAGACGAGGAGATGGATGTCGAGAACGACAGGGAGGCCCTGGCGCAGGACCTGGCGGCGCTGGCCTCGGCGGACGCCGAGATCATCGACATGTTGCTGAACGGGCATCACGTCATTGGCGAATGATAATGCAGTGTACAATTATGGTGTTCTATATTCTAATGAGGGCCCCTCTGGTCTACAATTTGCTGCTCACAGGCGGGTCCGTGTTGTACTTATGGTGTTCACACGTAACCAGGATGACGTTGTCGCTCTTCCTCCGCAGGACGCCCTTGAGCTGGCACAAGGTGCGGCCGACCTGGACAATCTCGCACTCGACGATGCACTCTTCCCCACAGGGGGCCGGGCGGAGGTAGCTGCAGCTAAGGGTGCGCGAGACGCCGAGGAACTGCCAGAAGCCCGGCTTGTCGTTGATGAGGGCCAGCGGGAGGGTGGTAAGAAAGTCGAAGAGCGTCGCCGCGCAGCCGCCGTGCAGATTGCCGCCCCTATTGCAGTGGTCCGGCTGGACCGTGAAGGAGAAGGTCGCTGAGGGGTGCGGGCTTGATGCGTCTGTCGAGAGGAGTGTGACGTGGGGCATAATCTCACGCATCCAGTTCTGTGTCTTGTTAGTCGTTTGTTGTGAGAGTCATACGTGAGAAAGACGCACCCCGGACTTGAGCTGACCATTGTCGTTCTTCTCAAGCGATATCCATGCTTTGATGCGATCCTCGGGGGTGTCGGCGTCGAAAATTGTCTTGAAATGAGACGGGATGCGTTTAGAGTCTTTAGCCATATTGTTAACTTGATCCGTATTGGTGAGTCTCAAATATGTGTGCTCAATGAAGGCTTCAAAATAATTCTATAAAATGAACGTGTATCGGTGTCTATTGCGTATTAAGTGAGGTTGTTGATGAAGAAACTCCATTGCCATTCCGGGCCCCTGGGGGTCCGTCAGCAGCAACGCCCCGCTAGTGTAATCGCTGCTGGCTTCCCCGGGTTCTGGGTCCCAGCTTCGGCACGCTAGCGGAAAGTGCCTCGGCAAATCCCATCGGTACCGACAACTTCCCACTCCTGACAAACCGCCAGTCCATCAGAGAACATGTCGAGATAACAGCCTTCGACACCCGAATCATCACCAGTTCAATGACCGACCGAGGCCGCCCGCCATGGAGTTCATGACCGCCCTTCGGGGCTCTTTCGACGACCAGAAGCCCTCCCTCTTCGAGCTGATCTCCGAACAGCAGCTCAACTCCCTCCTCCCCCCGACGATCCGATACCTCCTCACGGTCGCGACGCAGCGCTACCCGCGGTACCTCCTTCGCGCCCTCAACTCCTTTGACGAGCTGTACGCGCTGTGCATGCTCGTCGTCGAGCGCCACTACCTCAAAACCCGCGGCGGCAGCTTCACGGAACACTTTTACGGCCTCAAGCGCGAGAGGGCCCTGCATGCCGAGATCCCGCGCGCGAGCGCCAGCGCGCCGCACATCGTGCGGGACACGCTGAAGCTGACCACAAAGCATGTGTGGATGAATCTGGCCGTGATGGTCGGGATACCGTACCTCAAGCGCAAGCTCGACGAGGGGTACGAGGTCAACGCGCCCCGCGCGCTGCTGGGCGCGGCGTACACGCAGATGCCGCCGAACCCGACGTGGAAGCAGAGGTTCCTGCACTACTACCGCTGGTTCCTGCGCAACGTCTACCCCAGCGTCAACGCGGCCTACTACTTTGCGCTGCTGTCCTTCAACCTCGCGTACCTGTTTGACAACAGCAAATACCACAACCCCTTCATGTGGCTCATCAACACCCGCGTGCGACGGATGACGGGGGCAGACTACCAGGCCATCGACGCCCTGACGAGCGGCACCCCGGCAAAGGGCGGCGCGCCCCCCGGCTGGCGGTCGCTATTCTCGCCGCGCGAGATGGGCCCGCGGCTGCTCTCAAGCCTGTCGATGCTGCTGCCGATGAGCATCTTTGCGCTCAAGTTTCTCGAGTGGTGGCACGCTTCCGACTTTGCGAAGCAGCTGTCGCGCAAGGCGACGGAGACGCTGGACCTGCCGCCACCCATCGTGTCGGGGCTGGCTGGCAAGGGAGGGTCCCCCGACAAGAGCAGGGGCAAGGGGACTGCTGGTGGCGACGAGTCCGAGGCGGCTGCTGTCCCGGCCGCAGAGACGGCGCCAATTGCTACGCCTTCACTGCTGCCCATCTACACGGTCCCCGCGCCCGAGGACTCTGCGCTGTGTCCGGTGTGCGAGGAGCTGATTGCGACCCCGACAGCGTGCCAGACGGGCATCGTGTACTGCTACTCGTGCATCCATCGATGGGTGGAGGGCATGCACCCCAAGCAGGAAGACTTCATGGCGGACAAGGAGGGCAAGTGGGAGAGCGGGCAGGGACGGTGCGCGGTCACCGGACGACGCGTCCTGGGTGGCACGGAGGGGTTGAGGAGGATCATGGTGTAAGAATAGACGTGGGCCAGCGACCAGTGGGAGAGCATTCTACGAAAGGGATCATTTTAGAGCATCCGGAAAAGACCGGCGTTTGGGATGCGGTGTTAGTTTGTCACATACACATGAGTAATATACCCCCCTTGATCTGACAATCGAGTCTTTTGCGAGTGAGCAGTGGGTGAAGCAAGGGTTTGGGGGAAAGGACGCCAGCCGGCTTCCGGAATGAAGAAACGCGTTGAGGGTGTCTTGGTCTGACCCCACGCCGCCCTCCCTTTTTACGGCTTTTCTAGGCGTCCCACTGGCGCCCGATGCGAGCCTCACGAAACACGTATTGGTCTTGTTCGTCAGTCTCTGGAGCCCCAATTCAGAGACAAAAGTCTTGCGCTCGAACGGTGCCAACGCTCACACGTCGATGTCTGAGGCTCTCGTCTCCTGCGAGGAGGCAACTCCCGGCGGTGCGGGTGCATTCCACCGGTTCCTTTTTCCTGCTTCGGGCTTGACTTCTTTCGGCCCCCTGAATGGGATAGACTGTATTGAATTCTCTGTTTGGAAGCCAGATCAGTCTGGCTTCTCCAGCCCGGACCGAGGGGCGGACGTCATTCGCTGGGAGGGGTCTCCTCGGGCGAGCAGGAGGAGGCTGGGAGGGCTCTTGGGGAGACAGCGCCGGCGCGGCATTCCTTGATGGGATGGAGGGGTGGTGATATTTCTGTTCCTGAGAGTTGGCGATGGTGATGCGCCAGTGTAAGGGATATTGGGCTGGCGATATAAGGATGCCGCCGCGAGGCTGCCCTTTGCGAGGGGAAGACTTATTGGTCTCATTGCACTCTCTCTACGAGCTCGTACTATCGTCAGTCTTTCGTTGCCTGTCTCGTATCACACCCTCTCTTGTTTCTCGGTGGCGGTGTCGGTCACTTATACACACTCTCTGTTTGGAAAAGGTAGCACGCAGGATCAGCGAAGAAGGAAAAGAAAGGAAGCATGGCATACAGCCTGTCGCATTCGTACTTTGGCGGCAATTTCGTGTCTGATTTCAACTGGATCAATTATGCCGATCCGTCCAACGGCTTCGTACGGTAATGAAGCCCTCGAGAGACTTCACGAAGACGCCTGCTAAGCCTTCCCTTCCACAGATACCAGACCCAGCCGGACGCCCTCGCCAAAGGCCTGTACTCAATCAACCCCGACACGCAGGCCGTGACCCTCGGTGTGGACGACACAAATGTCTACGCACTCAGCGAAGGCCGGCCCAGCGTGAGGCTGGAGAGCAAGCAGGTCTACAACGGCGGTCTCTTCATCGGGGACTTTGCGCATATGCCCCCGTCAGTGTGCGGACTGTGGCCCGCTTGTATGCAATTATCGAGTGTCGTGCCGAGTTGAAAGCTGACGAGCCGCAGTCTGGATGTACGGGCCCGACTGGCCTGCTAGCGGAGAGATTGACATTATCGAGGGCGCGAACCAGGCGACCGTGAACGTCATCTCCGGACACACGTAAGTCTCGCCGTGGCATCGTCGAGACGGGGCTGACATGGCGCAGAACATCGGGCTGCACCCTGCCCAACAACCCAGCCGTCAGCGGCCAGACCCTTCTCACCGACTGCGAAAGCCCAGGGGTATGCTCCCACAGGTCTGATGCAGTGCTCCCGCTGACCGTGACAGACGACCAACAACGCCGGCTGCAACTATGTTCCCCCCACCTCGGACACGCACACATACGGAGACCCTTTCAACGCCGTCGGCGGAGGCGTGTACGCGCTCGAGTGGACGGACGATGCCATCAGCGTCTGGCACTGGCCGAGGCAGAGCATCCCCGCCGACATCTTGTCCAAGAAGCCCGATCCGTCCGGGTGGGGTCTGCCGACAGCGCTGTTTGGGACGTCGACCTGCGAGGTTGACAAGTACTTTAAAGATATGAGCATTGTGATCCAGACGGTGAGTAGACGCGTGAACATGGCTGCTGAGTGTTGAGGCTGACTGTGTAGAACTTTTGCGGTGACTACGCCGGCAACATCTGGGGCCAAGCCAGTGACACTTGCAACCAGGTCGCCCCTACATGCAACGAATACGTCGCGAACAACCCCAGTGCGTTTACGAGCGCGTAAGTACAAACGCCACTCGCAAGGCCAGAGACTGACTGCGGCAGGTACTGGGAGGTCAACTACATTGACGTCTACCAGCTGGGCCTGGGCAACACTACAACCAGCACCCCTGAGCCGACCACGACCACGACTGTCAAGACCACGTCCACCGTCTTCACAACGGTACCGAACCCCGCCACCATGAGCCACAACAGCACGGCGCTCATCTCAACCACTCTCCCGTCTGCTGCGGTCTCTACGGCCCCGCCAAGCCCGTCGACTGACCCGCTCGTCCCTGAGCGCGAGCCGGCGACCATTGACGGATACGCTTTCCTGGGCTGTTTCGGCTCGGCAACGGGCTTCAGCACGTTCACAGCAAAGGCGTCGGCGACGGATATGACGCTGCAAAAGTGCGTTGATCTGTGCACGCCGAGCAAGTATGCCGGCGTCCACCAAAAGTGCGTGCCCCTTTCCCAGATGAATGTGTCTGCTTCTGACAGAATGTAAAGCGAGTGCTTCTGCGCAGATGAGCTCGACCCCAGTACTAGAGCCGAGGCCGAACGCGCACGCTGCAATATCCCTTGCCCTGGAAACAGCACGCAGTTCTGCGGCGGAAACGCGAATGTCTCACCGGCTCCGTCCCGTCTCATGTTCCTTCATCGTCGCGCCGCACCGGCCAACTACCTCCTCACCGTCTACGGCCGCGTCAGCGACCAGACGCCTCCCCCCGCGCCACCCCTGGGCGATTCCGAGCCTCACGTCCCGTCGACCTCGACCGTGGTGACAACCGTGACCTACACCACTGTTGTCGACGGCTCAATGGCGCCTACTGAACACGTGACGACCATCCTCGTCCCCGGCTGCAACAAGTACTGCGCCGGAGACGGGCAGCCAAATGTCATCATCGTGCCAATGACCACCACAGTGGTGTCTTGCAATGCCTGTGGCGCTCACGGAGAAAACCAGGCCACCATCACCATCCCTCTGCAGATTGCGGCAGCATCGGTCACGACAGCCGCAACTGGATACTATCCTACCGCCAGCCCAGTGACGACATCAGCTCTCGCTGGAGGAGCTGGGGGAGCCGGAGGATCGTCTGGAAGTGGAGGCGCACCTGGAAGTGGAGGAGCGCCTGGAAGCGGAAGCACACCTCAGCCGTCGATGGTGCCGATCAACTCGGGGCCAGGCCGGCGTCTCGGCTGGTCTGCATGCGTGGGAGTCGCAGTCGGGGCGATCTGCTCCGTGCTGATGTTTGTTTAATAATACGGCAT